AGATGTATAAATACAAGGTAAAGAGAGGCAACTGGTACACAACCTCCAGCATAATCCCTAAAGGAAAACTGTGCTATAACCCTTCTCAGACTTTAATAAGCTCTTTTTAATAAAATTTATAAACAAATTAATCAATAAATTACCTCAAATATATATATATAAAGAGATGAACAATTATCTTAAATATTATATTGTATAAATTTTGGGATATCCTTGTAAGCCTTGAAGTAGGTTTTAAATAACCAAATCTCCGTTTAGAGTTTAGAGATGTTTTACACAGGCTTAATATATAGACTTGGAAAATATTTATTCTATATGAAACATATCTAAACACAGAGATAAATTGCATCCTGGAACAGAAGCAATCTTCCTTAAAAGTTAATTTATATTTTTAATAGGAACCGTGTTATAATTTAACAATTTTAGTTTACAAGAGAACTTACAAGTCAGTTTGATATCTAGTAAATTATTTAATAATTGTTTTATTAGTAATAAACATAAACCTATACATTCATAACAGTCTCATTCAATAAATACTGTGGTTAGACACAGTGTCACAACAAACCAGTTTCAAAACCAAGACCTTGATGAATTTTTTGATCAGATGTATATGAAAGAAACTCTTAAAAAGCCAGCAGTACTTTACATATACATCCATACACACACACACACACACACACACACACACACACATATGTATATGTATGAGAATCTCATATCAAAATGGCTGTGGTAGACAAAGCCATACACATTGATGATGTAGAATGAAGCAACTGGTACATATTTAAGCATCATCAAATTGATGTTTATAGCTTTTAGCATAATCAATTGTGATGCTTTAGTTACTGAGGAATTTTAGGCAGAAGATCTCTTTTTTAAAAAAAAAATCTATCCTGTTGTTTATTAAGTATTTAAATTTATCTTTGTATTTACCATACATTTTACATTAGTCTGTATTAGTGACCAAATAGAGAATCCCATTAACTATTTTTACTATAGATAGTAATACCCTCTGTTGAAATTAGTTCCCCTCTGTTGAAATTAGTACACCTTAGCTGTTTTTAACTGTACAGTGTATTTACTCTTAGGCTGTTTTGTTGTTCTCCTTTTCTTGTCACAGGGTTAGGGGGCCAGCCTGAACTTAGAGAAGTTTTGGAGAACATATCTTGATATAATAGGCCTGAGTCTGAAGTGGGAGGGCCAATCCCATCTCCAGAGTCAGCGTCTCAGTGAGCTCAAACAGCATGTGACAATTTACCAATGTAATTAATACAAAAAGGCATTTGATTTTCTTTAGCCTAAAAGTTTTTAAATTGTTTATCCATATTTTACTTTTAAACTAAGGCAAGACTGTTAACTTGCATGGTGAATTCCTTTGAAGAGGATTGTCAGTCTGGATTAGAAAAAACATTTTATAATTTATTATACATGATCTTGTATTAAGTACCCATGACCTGGTGAATAAGAAACACAGAAAACAGTGGTACCTAAAAGAAAATGTAAAGAGACAATATCATAATGCTCTTTTCTTTTTAGTCTATCTATGACATTGTAAGTAGACGGTACCCAGGGAATGATGTAGCAGGGACAAAAGCAAGCATACAGCAATTGAGCATCAGAGAGGGAAATACTCTGTTCCAGAGAAAAACAGGCTTAGAATCACAATGCAGAAAAGGGGACCAGTGGAGTCTGGATCCAAAGTCTCCCATCCAAGTAGACTATCCCTTTTAACCTCTCATTGTTGTAACTATGTGTTGGTAGTAGCTTATCTCCTGTGGGCTGCAGTAGCCGCCACTGTGGCACATCCCCAGAGAGGGGAGAAAAGGCCATGACCCGCCCTGCGCGTGTGCCCTCGATGCGAGCCACCTGCCATCCGGGTGCACTTGGCACGAAGGCATGCCCCCCCAAGGGGAAGCCTGCAGGGGCACGGAGGACTATGGGAGAAAGCCCTCCACGTGGGGCAGTCCTCTCGGACGAGCCCCTTTCCCAAGAAAAAGTTTATGGAAAAAAATGGCTTTTAAAATCTTTTTTTCCGTTTGTCTATGGCACAAGCCTTGCTGTTTTAAATCCCTGGTTTTTGTTTATGTTATGGGGCAGGTCAATTTAAATTCTCACCTAACTGGTTTAGCTTGAGCCTGAGTGCCCTGGGTGGGGGTGGCGTAACAAAACAGATAAGGAAGTTTGTTATCTTAGAAGTGGATTTCAATGTTTGTGTGAAAATCCCTGCATGCTAGAACTTTGGGGATTCTTTGTTTCTAGGGGTGTTGTTCAAGATAGAAAAGGAAAGGGGGTGAAACGCTGACTCCTAGGGGAATATGCCTGGGATCAAACCTTGGGATTCCGTCTAGTCCACAGCACAAGCCTCAATGACTCAGACTGAAAGTAAAAGGAGGAAAGAGGAGAGACTGCCGATCCTCAAGGGTGGGATGGCCAAGGCAAAGCTGCCGCTACCCTCCTGGAGAGAGGGGGTACTCACTCTGTGCATTCCTAGGAGCCCCACGTTGGGTGCCAGCTGTAGGTCTCTCCCTCCCCTCGAGGGCCATTGGCCACTGATCCACGTGGACAAAGGGAGCAGAAGCTATGAACAGGGTCAGGATGGCCAGTGTGCATGACGGAAAAGACTTTCCGGGGAGGCAGATTCAGTGATACAGCTCTGTTTATTCAGTGGGGGTCAGGGGAAATATAGTATGGAGGCAGCAGCCAAAGCTCCAGCTGATAGGTGCTCATAATATAGAAAAAACCTGGGGGCAGTTTTATTGCAGGTAACTATGCCAAAGGTAATGTTCCAAATAAGGTCAGGCATCCGTGTTTGAAGGCACTTTCCAGGTAAGTCAGGCAGAGAGCAGGAGACCCCTGCTAAGAAAGGAGTCGACCTTAACGGCAAGGTTCCCCAACAAGCAAGCACTCTACTAATTGAGCTACATCTCTAGCTAGGTCTTTCATTATGTAGGCACAGTTTTTTGTTTGTATTGTTTTCCCAGTGCTGGGAATTGAACTTAAGGCCTCATCCATGCTAGGCAAAGCACTTTACCACTGAGCTATATTCCTTGCCCTATGCAAGGATACTTTCCTTTTTTAAAAAAACTTAACTGTAGCTGAAATACATAAATGACATGGACTACTTATGGAGTTTAGAATATTTGCACTCGTCAGAATTTCCCTAGTACGTCATCTAGCTCCCTTGTCTCACAGGAGAAAACCAAGTGTTGGGAGGGGCTGGCTAACTTGGCTTGTGTGAAGCCGTACAGTGCTGTGGAAGCTGCTCTGGTGTCCCCAGGCTCCTCTTAGGGAAAGGTCGTCTTTCATTTTTTTTGTCACAGGTGTATTAGTTCATTTTCTTCTGCTTTAACTAGATTTTTCTTTGTTTGGTTTTATAGGTGTTACTGCAGAAATGCAAAACTTAGTCCACCGGCGGATTTATCCATTTTTACTGATGGTCGTAGTGTTGATGGGAATCCTGTCCTTCCAGGTCCGCCAATTTAAGCGCCTTTATGAACATATTAAAAATGACAAGTAAGTCTAGAATTCTATTCATGGTGCTGTCATTTTGTGATTTTTATTTAATGTGATAACTTATATGAGAGAAATATGCTCATGTTGTGGACGTTGTTTTGATGTAGGATCAACAGGGTTTGCTAACGGATTGAGTGCTGGAGGTGAAAGAGAAGTGGGATCAGGACTCTGTTGGCCCAGCTGCAGGAAATACAGAGCTGCAGCTTAAGGAGAGCCAGGGGAGGATAACAACTGCTCCACTTTGGCCTAAGAAGGCTTGAGTCCTCTGCTTTGATGGTGTCTCACAAAGATGCAGTTTATAACTGTCCATGCTATTGCCTGGGAGTTGTTATAGCAGCACTAAGAGCCCTGCCTCTCATTGTGTGTGTGGCATTTGAGACAACAGATCACAGAGTCGCCTTAGTTATTCAGAGGATTCCTAAGACTAGTGTGTTTAAGAAAGAAATTTAAATTACTCAAGGCTTCTCCAAGAAATGTACTGACAGAAAAAATACAAGTACTGTTAGGCAGAGTAGCTGGTCAACTCTGAGGGCAGGAAGGAGGGTGCTCAGCATTGAAGGTCCACTCTTCTCATGCTTTGGTGGAGGAGGGGTATTGCAGACAGAATTCTAGACTGCACTGACTGGGGTCCTTCTCCTCCTTCGTGCTGGAAACCCACCTGCTCTTACTCTTTTCCTTCTCGGTCCTCCCGGGAGTCTGCTCATCTGCCTCTTACGTTTTGATTTCACATTTATATTAGCACACAGAACATTGTTTCATTATGACATTTTCAAACCTAATTTTTATTGCCTACCCGTCTCCTTCCCCCTCTGCTACCTTTCTATTCCCAGTAACTTTACCTCCTTTCTGCTTTCATATCAAAACGGGGTTTGTGGTTTCTCGTTATTAATTTCCTGTACCTACAGGCCAGTGTATTCCTCGACATGTGCTGTCCTTGTACCTACTGTTCCTTGTAGTTTCTAGTCTGTTGCCTAGAATCTTAACACTAAGCTGACATAAAATGTGAACCTTGGGACTAGAGAGATGGCTCAGTGGTTAAGAGTATGTACTGCTTGTGCAGGATCAAGTTCAATTCCCAGCACCCACCTAGGGCAGCGTACTATGACTCCAGCTCCAGGAGAGCTGATGTCTCTGGCCTCTTTGGGGACCTGCACTCATGTGCAAACACACACACACACACACACACACACGCACACACACACACAGCTACATGTAATTGATATAAACCCTAAAAAAAAAAAAAAAGAGTGAACTATAAACAGATTCTTAAAATCCCCTGCATCCATCTGTTTACTGTGCCCACAAGTATCTGCAATTATGAGAACTTGTTGGCTGGTGAGTGCTGTGGACGCCTTGCCTGGCACAGCCGCTTGCAGCCTTTGCTGCACTGGTGCCTTCCCACAAACCACATACTGCTCCAAGGTGCCGGCCTTGTGTTCCTTCCAGACTTCTCTGACCTCCATTTGAAAGCTTGGTAGTTTGGGGATCTGAATGTTTTAGAAGAGGTAGCTCCTGGCTGCTCTGTGGAAGAGTGGTGTATACATGTTGAATTGTACAAGAAAGTGACTGCCTGTTCTCACATCCTAGATACCTTGTGGGGCAACGCCTGGTGAACTATGAGAGGAAGTCTGGCAAGCAAGGCACATCTGCGCCACCTCCACAGTCGTCCCAAGAATAAAGTGGTTATCTCCACTCCTTGACTTCCCCTTGCCTTTCTGTGTCCTTTTTTGTGGACTTCTCACTTTGGAGATTTTCCTTGTGATCTCAGCGTTTTTAAGTTAAATGTACTTGACTTGTGTCCTCAGCATTCAGAGCAGCGCTTAAGGCACTGCATTCCTCCTCCCTGCATCTGCCGGCATCACTGCTGTCTGGGATCTGTATATGTGTAAATAGATGAAGTTCCTTGATACCCTAAACCTTGGAGTAAACAGAATGCATTGTACATCTTTAAACAAAATGTATATTAATTTATTAAATCTAGTTGTCACTTTATTTTGGACCTGCTGTGACCTCGACAGAGATGTGCCACAGAGCAGTAGTGCACAGATGGGACTTTCCGGTGACGGCTTGTGGAGCATGGTTCATGGCATCCTAACAGATCGTACTGGGTAACTCTGTGTTCTGTCTTTGGCTATTCAGACCTCACCAGGAGCCCCAAAGGAAAGTAGTCATCAGAGTGGAGTGTCTGTGGTAAGGAAACATGAACTTTGGGCTTTACTGTCGGTCGCTTTTTGGAAATTATTTTGTATGACACCAAAGCTGTTGTACACTTTCTACTGCCTGATTTTTCTTGTGTCTGTGTTTGTGATATTGTACAGTATCTTGTGTAGGTGAGGAAATTGTTTTTAATTTTGGTAATTTAATATTCCTAGTCATCAGCATTGGGAGTTGGGTTTTGTGCTTGTTACGGGCATGTCTATACTTAGATGAATTACAAATGAAGGTTTTCATTAGTCCCCTCTTCCCTTTCTGTGCAGCTCCCTTTTTGTCAGCAGTGGCCAAAAGTGTCATGCCAGATTAGAAGTCTTATGGAATAACACTACCAACAATACTGCATTTCAGTTGGTCAAGGAATTCTGAGTGGCTTATCAAGTGCAGGTCTGGTTGTCATCTGGGGTTGACAGCAGCCGAGGAGAATGGTTCGAGCACCCAGTTTTGCCAGGTGCTGCACAGTGGTGAGGGTCAGTGAAAGCCTTTCTCCATCAGTAAATCTCAGTTTCCAAAGCTTTTGTTTACAGTAAACTGCAAATAAAACCAAGTTTTATTTGTCTAGAAGGAAGCTAGCTGAGCTGGTCTTTTAACATAGGAATGTATTTCATTAGAAAAGTGCTTATAAAATCTTAAGAGAACAGAATACTTACAAACCTGGTTTTCCCTTAGCCAAAGCTTCAAGTTTGAAGTTTAGAAGAATAGATAGTTGAGAACATCAGGTGTTTAGTGGTGATGATATATTGTAAGGGGAGTGTTGGTTTCTAGTGACAATTTAGAAGTTCTCATGGAGTGAGGACGCTGTAGCTCTTTAGAAACTAAAAGAATTTCCATATAGTATTAAAGACCCCTAAGTTCAAGTGTGAGAGATTTTTTTTTTAAACAAAAGTGAGCCAAACATAAGGTACCAAGTTAAGAGCAATGTGTTCTTTTATTTTCCAACAAAATCCCCTCAGTGATAAGCAAATACTTTAAAATACATTTGAAAACAGTATATTAAAGATAACCCCACACAGTGCTTAATATAGGATTCAGTGTTAGCACCATTTGGCACTTTGTAATAACCCTTTCTCTTGTATTTAAAATAAGGTCCTTGCTAGCAGACCCTACCTTTATTCATAGATTTAGTCCTACTATAAAATTAGGAGTGGTTTATAATGTAATGCCATTTGTCATGGGGTATATCTAGAAAAATTCTTTCAGGGAGGAAAGTATTACTGAATTGGGCATATAACTTATTTAGGTTTCATTTTTAATTTTTAAAGAATTTACAGATCTTGATATAGCACAAAAAGTTAAAAAACTGTTAATCTTGTGAAATTTCAAGTGAATCCCCTGCTTTGTTCAAAACAAAAACGCAGCACGGGGCCAAAATTTGGCGGACAGCTCTATGTTGTCTTAACTAAGGAATCCTCTCTGCAGTTCAGTTCTGCTTTGTCCTGTTTTCAGTAAGGTAAATCCTTTTGTAAGGGTTGGTCAAGCATAATATTTGCTAGGGTAGCATCCAGGTTTTATTAATGATCAGTAATTGTAAATATTTAAAACACATAGTTCGGTGTTTGTATTTGCTGCCCTTCTTACAGAGAATTTGAAAAGATTCAAGTTCTGCTTCAGGTTGCATTGGGCTAACACAGTCTTCAAGGAAGCTCACTAGGAAAGACCTGTTTGCTTATTATTTATAAATTGAAGACAAATCAACATTTCGGGGTTAGTTTTACATGACCAGAATGGTCACAGTTTGAAATGTGCAGTTCATTATTAGCAAATTATGGTTTGATTTTTTAAAAAAAACTATATAAAGTCCTAATAGTGTAGATGAAAACTGAAGACAGTGCCAATGTAAAGTGTGTGTGGCTAGCCTTAAACCTTCATATTTATAGGGGTTGTTGTGTCGCTCCCCCCTCCCCCAAAAAACCCCAAATGAGATGGGACATCTCTATTCCAGATAGAAACAAGTAATTTTTATTTTATGTCAACATTCAGTATAACTGTTTATTGTAAAATCTTGTCTTACTTCCCCACTTCATACAATAGAAAATAACTTTCCTTCTAATGATTTCATCTTAGGTATGTCATATCTGTATTGGCAAAATGCTCCATTAAAGTATAATCCTTGAATTTAGTTTGAATTGATGATTTAAGACAAAACAAAAAACACTGGACATTTCTACACTGTATTGTGCTTACACACACACACACACACACACACACACACACACACACACAGGAGCCTAGTGCTAGTGTGTAAGAACTCTGGCACAATTTTACAAGTTAGCTTCTTATTTTCATCTTCAGAATTGAGAATATTAAGCTATTTATTGTGATATATTGGTTTTATATTGTAATATTCAAAGTTCATGTTTCAAATAATCCTTTAGGCTGTTAATTGTCCAGTCATGATCAGGAAAAAACAAAGCTAAAATACCGTACCACTGAAGTATTATTACAGACCTCATTTGTGCAGATTCTCACTTTGCTTAAGCCGCCCTTAACCACAGTCATCTACGCTGACTTTGCTGGTCAGATGTTTTCAGTTTACTGCGTCAAAAATGTCAACAACCGACAGGAGGAAGGGCTGCTTTCCATCCTCAACAGTATCTCCGGCATTAATATGAAGGCAGTATACATGTTTCCATGCCTGTCTGTTTTGTATGAGTGCCTCATTTTATAGTTGTGGACATCATATAGTGCTGTAGATGAAAGTGGATGGCTGAGACCTAGGCATTTGTGGTAGGAGCTAAACACTTGGTGACGTGGGTCCGGCTTATTACAGCAAACACCTGCGCCCATACCACTTTTACGTGTACATACATTCAGAATGCCCCACTTTTACGTGGTCATTTGTTGCCTTGAGTTAAGAACAAAAACTGAATAAAGTGGATGTTAGTTGTAGCCCAGCTTTCCTTTTGGTTGTTTCACTACGCTGACCCATTGCTCTCAGCGTACAGAAACCGCGTGCTGTGAAGACACCAGTCCCAGCTAGTCCGGAGGAGGGTCGCTGGAGCTCAGGCCTTCGTGGCTAGCATGGGCAAGAGCTCCAAACAGATCAGAGTGGGCGTCGTTGGCGGCGTGGGTCCTACGGGCGTCAGGGACTGCAGAGGCCGCCAGCCGGCTGCGGAGGCAAGTGACGCACAGCCGCAGATGGGCCTTCGGGCCTGTGCACACCGCAGCCGGTCACCCCGCCGGAAGGGGAGCCACCTTGCTCCCCGGTCACCACACTGCTCTCCCTGGACGTGTCCTGGATGGAGACCGCAGGACCTGCCGGAACCACCGCCCCACTGACTCCTTCCTCCCCAGGAGGCTGAGCTCACCCCTACGCTCGCGGCCTACTTCCGGCCGCCTACTTCCCCAGCGCTCGCTTCCCGGGGACCCTGGGGTGCCCTCCGAGGCCGCGCCGCCGTCAGCCCCGAACCTGAGCGCCTTCTCACCGGCACCCAACACGGCCTCGACCAAATAGAGACCGGTTTGAGGCAACCTCGCTGCCTGGTGGGAAGAGCCTATTCGCCTGGGGCGTGGCCGCTGCGTCACCCCAGGGGTCACGGGGGGGAGGGGTCGCTGCGTCCCCTCTGCCTGGCACTCCGCAGTTCGAAAGCCGCGGGTTAGCCAAGCGTTCCCACTGCGCAGGCGCAGCGCTTCCAGGGGCCCGAGGCGCGTGCGCGTGCGCAGCGCGGGGGGGCTACGCTTCGCGGTTGCCTGGATACGGCGACGCCACAATGTGGACGCGAGCGCTGGGCGGGGCAGAGAGCGGCTGTGGGGCCTCAGTTCTGGAGGAGCTCGCTGAGGCGGTAGGCAAGGGTTCCCGCTCGCTGCGCCCCGCCAGCCTCCCAGCAGCCGACCCGTGATCCCCCCTACTGCACACCGTGATCCACGCCCCCATCGGGGCCGACGCTGTCTGCCGAGAGCGATGCCGCTTCCGCAGACCGTGTTCTGCGCGCAGCAGATCCACATCCCGCCAGAGCTGCCCGACATCCTGAAGCAGTTCACCAAGGCTGCCATCCGCACCCAGCCGGCCGACGTGCTGCAGTGGTCCGCAGGGTAAGCGCCTCGGCTCGCGGAACCCGGAGGCAGAAGTCCTGCTGGACCCAGATCTCCCGCGTGTAAGGTGTCACCCAGGCAGTCATCCCAAGGCTGCTCTGAGTAAACTGCTCAGCACAGCTCACAGCAATTGAACCTTCACAGACCCTAAGAGAACCAGACCCTCATGATAAGATCTCAGTGGCCAGTCATCCTTTTGATTCTACAAAAGTGCTCTTTGCCTCTTCCAAGTAGATAGGTTTAGACAAAAGGCTACTTTTAAATGACAGATAAAACTTTAATTTTCCATTAGCCATATTTTGCTAGCTCTGAATATGTAGCTAAGTTGGATTAGTTTCCTTTGGCTGTTGCAACACACGCCTGAAAAACTTGACTGATTAATGTAACAAGCATTTGTCTTTATAGTTGTGGAGGTGGAGCACTCCAAATCAGTTGAAGTAGGCTACAGAGTGTTGGCAGGGCTTTGGCATTTGGGGAGAAGTGTCTGCTTGGTTGTCCTTTCCAGGTACTAGAGCTGCTCTCCTGGGCTAATGGCCCTTCCCGAATCATGCCTTCTCTCTCTGCCTTTCTATCCTAAGGACCCTCGGCATGCATTTAGGAACCAATCTAGATCACGATAATTTCTTCATAAAATGACCACACAGAATACCATTCCACAGCTTCCAGGGACAGATCCCATATCTTAAGTTACCACAGGGGCAAAGTACCAGGCAGGACAGGTAGAGGGCAGTAGCAGTCATTCCCAGAGTGGAAAGCAGGTGACCTTTGTAAGCCTGGGCCATGTCAAGTGAATATGCAGATGTGTTTAATGTCAAACACCTCAGCCAGTAGCTGGGCCAGGAAAGGGAAGACCAAACCTAAGGGGTCAGAAGTGACTGAGGACAGCACAGCATTGGAGTCGGTCCCTCTAGGGCCTGGGGGTCTGCTCTTGCTGTTGACCACATTTCAGAAGCACTCGAGGAAGGGGGTGGGCATGAGCTTGACAAGATCAGCACAGTTCGAGGTCCTCCTGGCCTGTACTTGAATCCTCTGTCCCTTGCTACTCCTGAGGCTCAGGCAGGGGGTCATCAGGCCTACTTTACAGAGAAGCCATGGTCTGCTGCGAAGGTCAAGAGGGATTGCTCAGCAGAGGTCCAGGACTTAAGCCTTGGCCGTGTTAGGGTTTGAGAATCGAGAATAATTCCCACAGGTACCCAAAAAGATTATACAAAAGTTTAAGAATTTAAAGAGAAAAAAAGATAATAACCAAATGGTGGCTAGTCAGGCACAGACTTCACAAGCCAAATATGGAGTCTGGCCCAGAACAATAGCAGGCAGGAGCTTTTATTGGGGAACTCCATAGAAACCCACGTGCACCAAACATTTTTAAAAAAATAATTGGATGTCCCCATATCCTGTGTACCGGAAAGTCTTGATTGGTAGGGGCTGTCTTCAGGGCATTGGAATGTGCTGACTAATATCTTTTAGAGTCAAGTTTTTGTTCATACCTTATAAGGCTTTTACATGTACAATATGCCTGAGCTTGTCTGGGCTTGTCTAAAGAAGCTAGCCAAAATGGAGTCAGGGCATTCTGACTCTTCAGCTGCTGGTCTTCAGAGTGCATACTCTAATGACTGTGTTTGCTGGGGGCCTCTGAGACACTTGCATGCCTTGGGGCTGCCTATGTGTAGATACACTTCTGCCACGTCTCTCATTACCAGGTATTTTTCAGCTCTATCCAGAGGAGACCCACTTCCTGTAAAAGACAGAATTGAAATGCCTGTGGCCACTCAGAAAACTGACACAGGCCTGACCCAGGGACTCTTGAAAGTCCTACACAAGCAGGTAGGTGAGCCTCAAACTGCCTTGGTTCTCCCACTGGGCTGTGCCTCTCATGACACTAGGACATCAGCCCTCTGTCCCTGGGCCTGCCTGACACATCATTTCAAGATGACTGTCTCTCCGTTAAAGAACTCAAAATAGCTAGGTCTTCATGCATAGATGTGTGTGTGTGTGTGTGTGTGTGTGTGTGTGTGTGTGCTCATGCTTGCAGGAACATGTGTCATGTGGACATGTGGAAGCCAGAGGTCGACATCAGGTCTTCCTCAATTGCTCGTCACCTTATTGTCTTCGGACGGTCTCTCACTGAACCTACAGCTCACCAGTTAGGCTCGGCTGGCAGACCAGTGAGCTCAAGGGATTTTCTTGTCTCTTCGTCTCCAGACTAGGGTAGCAGACACACACTGCTGCACTCTGTACACAAACAAAGGCCTTGAACAAAGGCCCTCCTGCCTCAGCTTCCTGACTGTTGGGAATCCAGGTATGTGTCACCACACCTGCTGTGTGACCTTGATTTTTCTCATCACACAATTTGAAGTACTGTGTGTGTGCAGTGAACCCTGCACCTTCAGGGAAATGGATCACCACTGGAGAGAAGTAGGAAAGATGCACTGCAGTTGCTCAGTACTGTTCACACTGAAGTCTAGCAGACTGCAGAAGTTAGCAGCTTTCATGGGTAACTGGGCGTGGGGCTGTGCACAGCTTTAATCCCAGCACTCAGGAAGCAGAGGACAGAAGATGTGCGTTTGAGGCCAGCTTGGTCTACATAGCAAGATCTAGGCTAGCCAGGGCTACACAGTGAGTCCCTGTCTTAAAAAGAAAAAAAAAAAAACATTTATTTTCAGCTTTGCAATCATTCCTATTTAGGATTACCATGTTTAGGTGGCTGGATTTTTAAATTTTCAATTTTTGAATTTCTTTGTTTTTGAGAATTTTAAGGCAGGGATTTGCTACATAGACCAGGCTAGCCTCAGACTTGAAGTGTTCCTCTTGCCTTATTATCCTGAATGCTGGAATGACAGGTATATACACCACCTTGACTTTTAAGTTCATTTTTGCTTTGAGAAGTATCTGGACAGCAAAAAGCATATATCCAGTATCTGCATGCCAATTTCCTCTGTGTGTATGTGCGCGTGTGTGTGTGTGTGTGTGTGTGTGTGTGTGTGTGTGTGTGTGTATGTTATATGGACGTGTAGGTACACTTGCCTGTACATGTGTATATAGAGGCTAGAGGTTGACTCTGGGTATCATCCTGTATCACCCTGTACCCTTTATTTTTTTTCCTTCAAGACAGGGTCTTACTCTATAGCCCTGGCTGGCCTAGAACTCTATGTAGACCTGGCTGACCTGAAATTCGCAGAGCTCTATCTGCCTGCCTCTGCCTCTCAAGTGTTGGGATTAAAGACATGTGCCACCATGCCTGGCTTTCCAGCTTATTTTTCTGAGTCAGGGTCTCTCACTTAACCTAGAACACAAAGTTCCCGCTAGACTAGATGGCCAGCAATCCCTGGAGATCTGCCCCTGCTTGGTGCTAGGGTTTTAGTCACATGCTGCCATGCCTAGCTTCTTACATTGGTGCTGGACATCCAAATTCAGCTCCTCATCCACTGAGCCATCTCCCTGACCCTTTTCTGTGTTAGCTGTTGCTAATTCTGTCTAGCTGCCTCTCCCTGCCCTAACACCTTCTTACTCTCATCTCTGAGATGAGTTCACAGTTCACGGTCACACAGCACAGTCCATGTCTCCCCTGCCATGTGGTGGGTTATTTGGTATGTTTTAAGTCTTCACAAACATTGTATGTTTCAAAAGCTGTTCCTACTACATAGTATGTATATTGTGTTTTCTATGTGTTTTCTAAACAGTGTAGCCACAAAGAATATGTGGAATTAGCAGATCTTGAGAAGAAGTGGAAAAATTTGTGCCTGCCAGTAGAAAAATTCAGAGCTATCCTACAACTGGATCCTTGCGAGGACAAAATTGAGTGGATAAAATTTTTAGCGCTTGGATGTAGCACCCTGGGTGGGGTATGTACCTATAGATAGCATCTTAATAGCACTGTATAATTACATGCCTGACTTAAAAATAATTTGGGTTTCAGTAGCTAAAGGAAATGTTTTAATTACAACTTGGAAAAATAATTTTCCAGAGGACCGTGTTTTTCCAGACTTACTTGTAGTTATACCAAGTTTTCTTGTTGTTTTTTTTATGAAACCGTGAAATTAAAAAAAAAAAAAAAAAAAAAAAAAAGATACAGCAGAGAAAACAGAAACTCTTGAAATGTGTTTAGGTATTAGAGGAGACCGTACCAATGACTTCTTTTATTGAACCATATAATTTTATGGGTTTTTTGTTTTTGGTTTTTGTTTGTTTTTTGAGACAGGGTCTCCTTGTAACTCCAACTGGCCTGGAACTCACTAGACTGGCCGTGATGTCACAGAGATCTGCCTGCCTCTGCCTCTGTCTCTGGGGTTCTGGGATTAAAGGTATGTACCACCACACCTGGTTCAAACCATACAATTTTGGAAGCTGGTAAGTTTTTTCATCTGTAGAAGGAGGAATAAAATTGCGTTGTACTTGATTTATAGTCTATGTTAAATAATAGATACAAATTTGCTGGTGTTACAGTATAATTCAAACAACTTAGGACAAAGATGAACAATTGTCAGTTTGGGACACCTTAGAGTTAATGAATCCTGAATCCTGGGGCTTAGGTCTGAGATGGGTAGAGGCTGGCCTGGAGGATGTGGTTGGAACTTCTGGGGGCGGCTGGAGTCTGTTAAACAGGAGCCAGTGGTTGAGTGGAGGGAGACTTGGCCCAGTGAGTGAACAGTTTGGGCTCCAGTGAGCAGCTCTGCCACCTCTGAAGAGTGGTGTCAGGCTGGAGGCTACATGCTGAGCAGTGGTTGGGTGTGATTGTTTATGATTAGGCCTGGGCTGATTGTGTCGAGGCCTTGGCATTGGCAGACCAAATGTACTTCAAAAGCCGCTTGGTGGGGCAGTCCCTGGAAGGACACAGGAAAATGTGCTTAGTTACTAGAGTTTTTATGTCACGAATTCACTGGAAGCACCGTGATCTTTAGATTTTAATAACAGTATTTTGGATTAATGTTTATGGTTTCTGCCTCTAAACATAGATGTGAATATTGATCTTAACAGTGAGAAAACAGAACAGTTCAGGTTTTTGTCTTCATCTTCAACATCTCCATCTCCCCAGCATGAAAATTACATAGCACATTTCAAACAAAGTGGAATCTGTTGGAAAACAAGGTCCCTTAGCCACACAGTGAGTGACACTAGGTGGAGCTGTTACATTAAGGGTAGAGCCTTGTCCTCAGCAGGCACCACACACAACAGCACACCTTGCTTTTCTCTTTCTACTTTGTCCTTGGGAAACAAACTTACACCCAGAAGCACACTGGTCACAGCTGGTTCCTTCCTGTCCCCTGACTTCAGCCACTTGGACAGCAGCCTTGTGCCTTACCTTTAGCTTTCTTCAGGCTACGGGTCCCTTCGGCTTGTGGAAAGCCATGGTCACCCCCTGCTGGACTCAGTGGCTCTACAGTCTGAACTCAGGGATCAGGTTCAACTGGGAGAGCTGATGTTCTCCTTTCAGGGGAACTTGTGGGGGTGTCTGCTCTGCCCGGCCTCCCTCCACCCCACAGAGTGCTGAATGTGAGTTCTGTTTCAGAGGATGCTGTGCTAGCTGGAGGTCCAGTGTGGCCCCTGTGTAGCCTGCGGTGGCCAGAGATGCATTAAGAACACAGCTCAGAGTTCAAGGAGGTGCTTCTGTGCCATTTGGCATTAATTTTATACTTGAAAAAAGAAAAAAAAAAACCATCAAAAGGTAGAAAGGAAGAAGTAAGCTGATAAGTGTGTTAGTTACAAGGGAGAAAAGATTGATTTGGGCCCATGGTTTGAGAAGGTGGAGTGGCTGGTTCCGCAGTGGTGTGGGTGGGGAGTACTCACCTTTCTAGGATCAGGAAGCAGAGACTTCAGGCTCAAACTGAGCTCTAACCCATAAGGCCGCTCTTCCCACTTCCTCTAGCTAGGCCCCACCCCCAA